CTGTATACAATAAAGGCTGTCACTGTCCCAGTCTCTCCTACCTGCACTGTATACAATAAATGCTGTCACTGTCCCAGTCTCTCCTACCTGCACTGTATACAATAAAGGCTGTCACTGTCCCAGTCTCTCCTACCTGGGCTGTATACAATAAAGGCTGTCACTGTCCCAGTCTCTCCTACCTGCACTGTATACAATAAAGGCTGTCACTATCCCAGTCTCTCCTACCTGGGCTGTATACAATAAAGGCTGTCACTGTCCCAGTCTCTCCTACCTGCACTGTATACAATAAAGGCTGTCACTGTCCCAGTCTCTCCTGCCTGGGCTGTATACAATAAAGGCTGTCACTGTCCCAGTCTCTCCTACCTGCACTGTATACAATAAAGGCTGTCACTGTCCCAGTCTCTCCTGCCTGGGCTGTATACAATAAAGGCTGTCACTGTCCCAGTCTCTCCTACCTGCACTGTATACAATAAAGGCTGTCACTGTCTCTGTCTCTCCTGCCTGGGCTGTATACAGTAAGGGCTGTCCCAGTCTCTCCTGGCTGGGCTGTATACAGTAATGGCTGTCACTGTCTCTCCTGCCTGGGCTGTATACAGTAATGGCTGTCACTGTCTCTCCTGCCTGGGCTGTATACAGTAAGGGCTGTCTCTGTCTCTCCTGCCTGGGCTGTATACAGTAAGGGCTGTCTCTGTCTCTCCTGGCTGGGCTGTATACAGTAATGGCGGTCACTGCCTCCTACCTGCTGCTGCTGCTGTCACCATACACTGACCATCCTGGAGTCTCTGGCTCAGATATTCGCTTCCGCTTCCGGTTCCAAGCCCAGAGCAGCAGGCAATCAGCTGTAGCCTCGAGCCCCTGGCTGGCCAATCAGCGCAGTGGCCGGGAAAGCGTGTGGACAGTCGATTGGTTGATGCTCAGCAGAGGCGGGGCCTGGTGTGTCTCGAGACAGCGTCAGTGCTCTGTGATAGAGTCAGTAAGGTTAAGATCCGCAATCATCGCCCCGCCCCCTTCGGTTTTCTATTGGCTGACAGTTTGCTTTTCTCTTATCTGATTGGATGTTGGTTTTGTGATGTCTGTCATGGACAGCCCTGAGAACAGCTGCTATTTCCTGTGCTGTCAATCAGTGGCTAAGCTCCGCCCCCAGCCCCTCTCCCCTGGTGGGCTTATTCACTAACCCGAAACATTGAGTCAATGTGATCCAGTATATTCAGACTGCGCTGCTTCCGCCTCACGCCATACCAATTCATACCAGGGACTGGGCCACGATTCGCTGGACGATACCATGTAACGCAGAGCGAAGTGCAACCCTTGCCGTATCGTCAGCGTAAAGCATGGCATGGCGCCACCTGTGCCGTATCGTCAGCGTAAAGCATGGCATGGCGCCACCTGTGCCGTATCGTCAGCGTAAAGCATGGCATGGCGCCACCTGTGCCGTATCGTCAGCGTAAAGCATGGCATAGCGCCACCTGTGCCGTATCGTCAGCGTAAAGCATGGCATAGCGCCACCTGTGCCGTATCGTCAGCGTAAAGCATGGCATAGCGCCACCTGTGCCGTATCGTCAGCGTAAAGCATGGCATAGCGCCACCTGTGCCGTATCGCCAGCGTAAAGCGTAGCATAGCGCCACCTGTGCCGTATCATCAGCGTAAAGCATGGCATAGCGCCACCTGTGCCGTGTCGTCAGCGTAAAGCGTGGCATAGCGCCACCCGTGCCGTATCCTCAGCGTAAAGCGTGGCATAGCGCCACCTGTGCCGTATCCTCAGCGTAAAGCGTGGCATAGCGCCACCTGTGCCGTATCGTCAGCGTAAAGCGTAGCATAGCGCCACCTGTGCCGTATCGTCAGCGTAAAGCGTGGCATAACGCCACCTGTGCCGTATCGTCAGCGTAAAGCCTGGCATAGCGCCACCTGTGCCGTATCGTCAGCGTAAAGCATGGCATAGCGCCACCTGTGCCGTATCCTCAGCGTAAAGCATGGCATAGCGCCACCTGTGCCGTATCCTCAGGGTAAAGCGTAGCATAGCGCCACCTGTGCCGTATCGTTAACGTAAAGCATGGCATAGCACCACCTGTGCCGTATCAGCGTAAAGCGTAGCATAGCACACCTGTGCCATATCGTCAGTGTAAAGAGTAGCGGCACCTGTGTAGAATCGTCAGCGTAAAGCGTAGCATACCACCACCTGTGCCGTATCATCAGCGTAAAGCGTAGCACCACCTGTGCCGTATCGTCAACGTAAAACGTAGCATACCACCACCTGTGTCGTATTGTCAGCGTAAAGTGTGGCATAGCGGCATCTGTGCCGTATTGTCAGCGTTTATTGTGGCATAGCGCCACCTGTGCCGTGTCCCCAATGTAAAGCAATGCATAGCGCCACCTGTGCTGTATCATCAGCGTAAAGCGCAGAATAGCACCACATGTACAGTATCATTAGCGTAAAGGGTAGCATAGCACCAGCTGTGCCGTATCTTCAACATAAAGCCTACCATAGCGCCACCTGTGCCGTATTGTCAGTGTAAAGCATAGCATAGCACAACCTGTGCTGTATTGTCATTGGAGGCAGGAGAAACTGAGACTTGCTGCTAAAGAGTCAATAAACCATTTTGCAGTGATGTTGGACCGGGACCTGCAGTCTCCAGGCACCTAACCACTGCCACGGTAGAAACTTTGAATTCTAATGCTACTAGCCAGGCCTTAAAAGTTACTCACTACTGCATGTCATAGTATACCCTGCAGGGGTGGGTACGTTTCTACATGCCAGGTCTAAGTTTTGATTTTCCAATGGCTAATGGCAAGCGCAAAGTTTAAGCCCTGACCACCACAATCAATTGAAGTGGTTATAGTGTCTACAGTGTTCTTTTGGGATCATTCAGTAAACTGTTAATAATTGAGAACCGGCTGGGGAAATGGACATTTATGGTTAGTATTAGTATTAGTTTATTTTTTCAACTGAGATTAATAAAGATTATAAGAGCTGATAAGGAGTTTATCTGTCCCTCCAGCAGCAATAATACAGTCCAAATAACACAACATATATCATCAAACGCCTCTGCCTTCCCATGATAATGACATTATACAATGTTGACTGCTGAGCTGACATTTATTGCTACATTTTTTCCTTAGTGACAGTTTCTTTCTAGCAGTGACAGTCCCACTTTCTTTTTAATTCCAGATCTGCTTTCTCTCACTGTAAGGGTTAATGGTCTCTGACACTGTAAGGGTTAATGGTCCTTGGCACTGTAAGGGTTAAAGACATCTGGCACTGTAAAGGTTAATGATCCTTGGCACTGTAAGGGTTAATGGTCTTTGGCATTGTAAGGATTAATGGCCATTGGCACTGTAAGGGTTAGTGGCCTCTGGCACTGTAAGGGTTAATGATATCTGGTACTGTAAGGGTTAATGGTCCTTCGCACTGTAAGGATTAATGGTATCTGGCACTGTAATGGTTAATAAGGGATAATGGTCTCTGGCACTGTAAGGGTTAATGATGGTTAATGGTGTCTGGCACTGTAAGGGTTAATTGTGTCTGGCACTGTAAGGGTTAATGAGGGTTAATGATGTCTGGCACTGTATGGGTTAATGAGGAGTTAATGGTATCTGGCACTGTAAGGGTTAATGATGGTTAATGATCTCTGGCACTGTAAGGGTTAATGAGGAGTTAATGGTATCTGGCACTCTATGTTTCTATGTTTCTATGTTTAATGATGGTTAATGATGTCTGGCACTGTAAGGGTTAATGAGGAGTCAATGGTATCTGGCACTGTATGGGTTAATGAGGGGTTAATGGTGTCTGGCACTGTAAGGGTTAATGAGGGGTTTAATGGTGCCTGGCACTGTAAGGGTTAATGAGGGGTTAATGGTGTCTGGCACTGCAAGGGTTAATGAGGGGTTAATGTTATCTGGCAGTGTAAGAGTTAATGCGGGATGTTAATGGTGCCTGGCAGTGTAAGGGTTAATGAGGGGTTAATGGTGCCTGGCACTGTAAGGGTTAATGAGGGGTTACTGTTGTCTGGCAGTGTAAGGGTTAATGAGGGTTACTGTTGTCTGGCACTGTAAGGGTTAATGAGGGGTTACTGGTGTCTGGCAGTGTAAGGGTTAATGAGGGGGTTAATGGTGTCTGGCAGTGTAAGGGTTAATGTGGGGGTTAATGGTGTCTGGCAGTGTAAGGGTTAGTGAGGAGTTAATGTTGTCTGGCAGTGTACGGGTTAATGGTGCCTGGCGGTGTAAGGGTTAATGAGGGGTTAATGTTGTCTGGCAGTGTAAGGGTTAATGTGGGGTTAATGTTGTCTGGCACTGTAAGGGTTAATGAGGGTTTAATGGTGTCTGGCAGTGTAAGGGTTGATGGTTAATGGTGTCTGGCAGTGTAAGGGTTAATTAAGGTTAATTGTGTCCGACAGTGTAAGGGTTAATGAGGGTTGATGTTGTCTGGCACTATAAGGGGTAAGGAGGGGTTAATGGTGTCTGGCAGTGTAAGGGTTAATGAGGGGTTAATGAGGTGTTAATGGTGTCTGGCAGTGTAAGGGTTAATGAGGGGTTAATGGTGTCTGGCAGTGTAAGGGTTAATTAGGGTTAATGGTGTCTGGCAGTGTAAGGGTTAATGAGGGGTTAATGGTGTCTGGCAGTGTAAGGGTTAATGAGGGGTTAGTGGTGTCCGGCAGTGTAAGAGTTAATGGTGTCTGGCAGTGTAAGGGTTAATGATGGTTACTGGTGTCTGGCAGTGTAAGGGTTAATGATGGTTTATGGTGTCTGGCAGTGTAAGGGTTAATGAGGGTTAATGGTGTCTGGCAGTGTAAGGGTTAATGAGGGTTAATGGTGTCTGGCAGTGTAAGGGTTAATGATGGTTATGGTGTCTGGCAATTGTAGGGTTATGATGGTTTA